CCAATATGTTTTTCCCAATAAAAAAAAATATTTAAAAAAAAAGGGGGGTAACTTTGTATACTTTTTGAGATTTGATTAAAATTTTTAAATGATTGCTTTTTCATTCATTCACAAAATTTTGTTTTATAATGCTAATAACAAGTAATACTTATTCATTTTTACCCCCTCTCCTTCCCATCTCTAAAAATGATACAAGCATGATTCTGTTTATAAACTTTCCTGTAGCTTTTTGTAATAATGGTCTTATATATTACATTTATCCTTTTGTAACTAATATGTCACACAGTATAACTTCCAAAAGATTCTTCCACATTATGTAGTTATTCTTACATTCTTTATTATTCTTCAAAAGTCCATAAAATGTCAACGTATGACTACATCAATGTTTCTTTAACTATTCTATCAATAAGACTTTTAAGTTGTTTCTATCTCTTTAGTATTTTAAATAATGCTGCAATAGACAAGCGTGTGCATGTATCAGTTCAGGTTGCTACTGTGGGTCATCAGATCAAAACCAACCCACAGCTGACACTCTAATGGGTTTTTAGAGGTAGTTTAATCACACGGTAAGAGACTGCCCATCCTTCTCCCTAAGAGCAACTGACAACAGATTCAAACTTTGTGCTTCTGGAACTGCAGTACAGCTTCTTACCACTAGGCCATGTTGCTGTTATGTGTCGCCTGCGACTCATAGCAACTAGGCCATAGCAGCTCTTATTTTAAGGATATTCTTTAACTAACTCAATGTTTTGAAAGTATTCAAATAACCAAAACCTAAAGAAGAGGTAACACATTATCAACATTCTGAAATACTTTTCTCCCTTCTGAAGTCAAAAGCAACTTCTAAAAATGTATCAACATTACCTTGATTTCTAAAATCTAGTATTAAAATTTATTATAGATGGGTATATTTACACCAACTTTCAATGTAATAAGATCCACTCATGTCGCTTGGCTTACTTTTGGTTTGCTCACCTTTGTTGCTAAACAGCACTGTTATGTATGAATTATATTTTACTTAATGTTTCTCTTATTTTACAGTTCTATATTTGGATACAAACAATTTTGCTCCATTTTATTTGCATGATGTTTTTGTACCACCTTTTGAATCCCTATATAGGTTTTTCTACATTAAAATGCACAACCAACTTTGTTACTTTTGGGTGTACTTATATAAAATACTTAATTATTAATTACAGGAAATTTCAATATTCATTCTTGTTTTTCTAAGCAAGAGATCATGACATTCCCTAGCATCAGAGCAAATCTACATAACTGACAAAAAAGTCAAACCAAAGATAAGCCATCCTACTCCCATTTTAACCTGATGATTCTGCACCTGATGGCAAGCTAAAGGGTTAAAACTTCTATAACTTGTATATGTATTGCATGTTTCTTTCAAGTTCTAACCATTTATATTGAACTAAGAGCTAACATTTAAAAAATTTTACTTTGAACTTATAACTTTAAAAAAGTCTCAAAACAATGTATTGCCATCAATGCTTTTGAATTTTGTGTGGAAACAGCTACAGAAGGAGAAAAAAAATTTACTTCTCTACTTTAAGAAATATCAATGAATGATTTGAGGAGTAATGATGTCAATTTGAGGACTACGGTGTGTCTCATTCAGGCCACAGTCTTTCTGAACACTTGCTATCCATCTGAGAGCTGGACAATGAATAAGGATGACAGAACAAGAAATGAAGCCCTTGAGCTGTGGTGTCGGAGAAAAGTACTGAACATCCTATGGACTGCACAAAGAATAAACAAGTATGTCTTGGAAAAAATGCAGCCAGATTGCTCTTCAGAGGCAAAGATGATAGAGCTTCGCCTCATATACTTTGGGCATGCTGCTAGGAAGGGCTATTCTTGGAGGGACACAATGCTTGGAAAAGTGGACAGTGAAAGAGAAGAAGATTCTCAACAGTCAGACTGACACAATGACTGCCACAATGGGCTCTAATGTGTCAAGAAGTGTGTGAATGGAACAGGATAGGACAGAGTTGAGATGTGCTGTTCATAGGGTCACCATGGATCATACTCGAGTCACTGGCTTCTAACAACAACTACTACTTAAAAAAAGAACATATTTTCCTGCTTTAGTTACCAGTTCCCAACAGCAAAAGCTTAAGTTTGACTGCACTACGGCAAACACAGATAATTCCGGTGACTTAGTGGGTAGGAGTTGCACTGCCAACTCCAAGGCACGCAGCTCAAATCTACCAAATGCTCTAAAAGAGAAGGATGGGCAACTTCTGTTCATGCAATTTACTGCTTCTGAAAACTTGCTGGAGGGGCCACTATGAGTCAGTTCTGACTTGACGGTACACAACAACAACACTGCAAATACTCCTGAGAAAGAAAAGATACTGCACTGGTGTCTAAATCTGTAGGGACGTGAACTTCTGAGAAGTGGCCTGTTTGAATCTACCAGCAGCTCTCAGGGAGAAAAGCTGTCAATCTCCTCACAATGAGTTACAGCCTCCAAAATATTCTGCTGATGGGCCAGCTATGAGTTGGCTCCACTACACAGCAATACTACCAAATTCTACACTGTGCATGCAAATCATAATATTCTTTATTTTCTATTCCCTGCCCCTGCCAAGTTTTATGTCTATATTTAACACACTAACAGGCAGCCATCTCTTCCTAGCAAAATTTTTCAGAAATCACATTATCTGCGTATATAACAGAGTAAGGTCAAATGTAGATTTAATTTTTGTCTGTCTCTTTTCAACTTACTTTGCTGCCTGTATAGTTTCTAAATACATTTATAGTTATTTTAGAACTAAAATGAACAGATCAGAGTTTTTCTGGATAAAAAGGACTTATTAAAAAATAAAACCAAACATGTTAAAAAGAGAGAGTACAATAATTGTCTTCAAGTATAAAAAGAATTCTTTTCAGTTCAAATTAGTATAAAAACATCTTACTAGGTAGAATAAGTAATGTCAAATGTGAGATACAGCTCAAATTTCCTTATTTTCATTCATTTAATACTTTTTCTAAAATTCCAGGCAGTATTAGGATAGTCCTATTTCCTGACAAAATTCTAGACAGTAGAGCAGTAAGTCATACTCCTAACAAACACTAATAAAGCAAAACAGAGATAAAGAATACATGTTTGCTACAGGGGAAAAAAAACCCCAAAACAAGGCATGTAAGTTATTTTCCTGTGAATTAAAAAAAAAAAAAAAAAAAAAGAGAAGGACTGCATTTACCTGATTCAAAGGTTGGCATTTTCAAATCTCCTTGGTTCAATTCTGTGCCATATTTTAATTTGTGGTATTTTGCCCTGAAAATTTAATAATAAATCATTAAAAGAACTCTTCTGTTTTGTTTTCCTACAGTAGAATGCCTGTTATACTTTAGTTAAGCAGAAGCATAATTTCAATATTTATTTTTATAAAAACTTTTTTAAAAAAACGTTTATCGTAAGAGTACAGGATGAAGGTTGCAAAGTGGATTATATTTGGGGTTGGGGGTGTGGTTGGGGGATGTCCGGGGGGGACTATGTACCAATGAGGGAGTTTTGCTTTTCAAGGTGAGGAGCAAACGGAGCGGGGGCAGTGGGGGGGAGAAGAGTGCAACAATGAATGAATGGAATTCCAAAATCTTTGTAGATGTTCACTGAAATGGAAAAATAATTAATTTTTTTTAAAAAAGGGGAAAAAAAGATACAGTTCTTCTTGGGGCGGTGGGAGTGTTGTGGGGGGATTGTATACCAAAGAAAGAATTTTTCTTTTACTTTTCAAAGAGGAGCGAACCGGGAGCGGGAGTGGGGGGAGGGCTGGGCAGGGAGAAAAGTGCAACAATGAATGGAAATCCAAAATCTCTGTAAATGTTCATCAAAATTATTAAAACAAAATAAAACAAAAAAAATGCTGTTAATTAAACATTTGTCTATATTGCAATCTATGTAAAGATATGAAGATAGGACAAATATGCTATTGTTTTATTGCTGTGAGTTTAATAAAAACTGTAAATAATTAAAAAAAAAACAAACCCAAACAGTTAGATGGAGACAAAAATGCACAACTGTAAAAGAAAGCAAAAAGGTACACTGCCCAGTAACAAATACATCCCAAATGACAAAAAAAGATAAATTTAGTCCTTTTTATATCCTAAAAGTATTAATCTATGTATTTTCACTCTAGAATAAAATCAAAGTATCATTATGTATGTCAGTCAGTAGACCTTTATATTTTTCAAATTCATTGTACAATGGAAAATAATGGTCTGATTTATGTAAGAAAATGAAGCACACATACCTTTCTTGTTTTAATGCATATTCTAACATTTTTATTCTTCTTACTAAATCCTTCTTCAAGTTTTCTTGACCTTTTCTTTCTCCTTGCAAGAATGCTATCCGGGCCTAAGAATATAAAAGGTGCATTTCTTTTAATTTTCCTGTAACTGTATAAAGGAAGTGACAGAATAAGAATTCACTCCTCTGAGATGTGTTGTAGCAGAGTATTGACTATCCTATGAATTGCCAAAAGAACAAATAGTAAGTCTTGGAGAAAGTACTGCCAGAGTGCTCCTTAGAGGCAAGATGACAAAGCTTCACCTCACATACTTCGGTCATGTTGCCAACAGAGGTTATTCCTTGGAGAAGGATATCATGCATGGAAAGGTGGAAAGTCAGCTAAAGTGAGGAAGACACTCAATCAGATGGATTGACAATATGACTACTGCAAGGGGATCAAGTATGTCAGAAATGATGAGGATGGCACAGGATAGGACAGTGTTCATATCTGTTGTTCATAGGCTCGACAGCATCTAAAAACACCATACAAAGCATGGAGATGGGAAAAAAAAGAGGTGGACAAAGTATATCTAATCCATTTTCAAGACTGAAAATCCACATTGTTGTTGCTGTGTGCCGTTGAGTCGCCTGCGACTCATAGCGACCTATGTACAACAGCCCGAAACTGCTCTATCCCTTGCCCATCTTACTGTCTCCGACACACCTATCCCCATTACCAGCGACTGAATCAATTCATCTCATCGTGGGTGCACATACTTGTCTAATTAAACTTCGTTAGATAGACAAGCTTTAAAGATTTAATGACTACAGCTGTACTATGTAACAATTCTAATCAATGTCACTGAATTACTGTTGTTGTTACCATTAACACGTTGCCGCAAATGAAGATAATACATCGACAAAAAAAAAAAAAACAACACCCAAAAACAAAAACCCTTTCTAAGCATGGTCGTCAATTAAAAGTGTGTGGCAATGTGTTATGGAACTTCGAGTAAAAGCCAACTCACAACCAACCCTCTAGCAGCTTTTCAGAGACAGTAAATTGGTCATCTTTCTACTGTTGAACAGCTGCTAATTTCAAACCTCATGCCTTTGGGCTGGCAGCACAGCTTCTCACCATTAGTTCAAAAGAGCTTTCTACTGAATCATGTGTAAAAGAAGAAATAAATCTATAATCTCACACACTGCTGATACTCTTTCAAGATCAAATAAAAGTGAAAGGTGGTTTCTTAAAAATGAAACCTGCACCTATTTCTCAACACACATTCAAAAGGAACTGAAAAGTTAAAAGTCACAAGAAGACATTTATTTTGCAAAATAAATGGTGGTACTATGTGTCACTGAGTTGGAATCAATTGACCCTCCAGTAGGTTTTCAGAGGATGTTAATTCTCATGAGGAGACTTCTCTGGTGTAGCAGCTGGTGGATTTTAACTGCTTGTCTTTGGGTTAGCAGCACAACTCTCCACTAGGTCATTAAAGCACCCTAAAATGAGATTACTAGTCTCAAAACCCAGTAATACAATAATAAAAAAAATTCTTACTTGAAATACTTAAAGATTTTTTTCTTTCTTTCAAATTGCCTATTTCACTTTTTTCTTTTTTTTTTTAATCACTATCTTTTTGAGTAAGGCAATTCTATCATTTTCTGGTCTTTGCCAGCAGACTGTCAAAAGTGAAAGGCAGTGCCATCAAATTGGAACCAATTCACAGCTGACTCAATGGCAGTAAGTAGTTCCTTTAAAAAAAAATCACACACACAAAAAAAATCACATTAACATTACATGCAACCCTATGCACGTGAGAAATTAACACACTGCCACAAATGATGGTAAATGTGTTTCTAAGTAGGGTCGTCAACTTAAAAAGTGTGCGGCAATGTGTTAAAAAAGGATATAAATCACTGCCACTTGTAGAACAAGATTGACATCAGGGTTGTGGTGAGACTGAAAAAAAAAAAAAAGAATAAATCATGTATACTGCATTGAAACAGATGAGGGACAGAACAGCTTAAAGGCAATGTATGATTGGATATTATGGTTAAGACAGGAGTCCAGAATGAAAGTTGCACAGTGGAGTGTATTGGGGGGGGGGGGGAATTATATACCAATGAAGTAATTTTTCCTTTACTTTTCAGAGAGAGGAGCAAACTGGGGGTGAGCAGGGAGAAAAATGCAACAATGAATGAATGGAAATCCAAAATTCTTGTAAATGTTCATTAAAATTAATTTAAAAAAGGGGGAGGAAGATATAAATCACATGGAGTATCAAAGAACAAACAAATCAGTCTTGAAGAAGTGCAATCAGGGTGCTCCATATAGTAAGAATGGTGAAACTTCATCTCTTATACATTGGGCTTGTTGTTAAGAGGGGCCAATATTGACAAAATCATCATACTGGGAAAGGTGGAACAAAATGGACAGTGACTTTAACAACGGACTTGAGCAAGGCAGAGATCGTGAAGATGGTGGATAGGGCAAAGGTTACCTCTGTCCTTCACAGCACACGATAATACAAAGTGTGAAAACACAAGTGTGAAAATAAGAGAAATGGTACAGATTCAGAACCTAATTGTTGAACATTCTCTAGAAAGCAAGAGTATTCACTCTCAGTAAAAGTAAGTAAATTTCATCTTATATTTTTTAAAAGAAAGGTTTTGTTCCCTGTCAATACAACACTGTCTTCCCACAAAAAGCTAAGTGCAGAAATCCCACAAAACACAGTTATTGCATTGCTAGGAATATACCCAAAGAAAATAAAATTAAGACACATACACAAACCAAGATTTGTACACTTAGGTTCATAGAAATGTTATTCACAATAGCAAGAATATGGAAACAGACCAAATGTCCAATAACAAACAAATGAATGGAGAAATAATGGTATATTCACACAACTGAATACTCTTCAGTACTAAGGTGCAATGCTTTTGTCAAATACTATGTCAAATACTGTCATATTTATGCTGAATGAGCTAACTCAGTCTCCTAAGAACAAGTATTGCGTAAGACCATTACTATGAAAATAAAATAACTAATAAGATGTGGATAAATGTCCAAAAGGGGAAGGGGGGGCAGGAGGGCAGAGGATAGGAAAAGGAGGAAAATTAATAGGATAACAGAGTTGGGGAGAGGAGGGTGAGGGTGAGAATGAATAATCTAATACGGATGTGAAAAGATGGGGCAACAGTAGACATAGACCAGTGGTGATTAATTTAAAAAAAAAAACCACAAAGTACTTGAGTGAGCATTTGAAACACAGTGAGAATGTAGAAATATATGAAATGCAATGTACAAGATTATAAACAATAGACATAAATTCTGTATGCAGACTACTATAGAGTTTGGGTAGGAAGCTCAAACAGAAAACATGAACTATTTATGTTTCATAAATACTAATAAAAATTACAGAGCTATTTATGTGATTTTAAACCATTAAGAAATATATCAGATGTGAATCTGATATATTGTTTGAGGTTAAACAGTATAATGTCCAAGTCTCGCCTGCTTAGGAAATGAAAACTAAATTGACCGTCAAATAATCTCTATATGTTGTTATTAGGTGCCTTTCGAGCAGAATATAACTCATAAAGGCCCTATGAACAAACAAGTAATCTGATACCTGTCTTATCCTATGCCATCTTCACAATCTGACACATGTGAGCCCACTGCCGCAGTCACTTTGTCAATCCACTTAGTTGAGGGTCTTCCTCTCTTTTGCTGTCCCTCAACATTCCCAAGCATGATGTCCCTCTCCAATGAACAGCGTCTCCTAGCAACATGTCCAATGTGAGGCCAACTTTAATCATCTTTGTATCCAAGGAGCACTCTGCCTGCACCTTCTCCAAGACATATCTGTTTGTTCTTTGGGCAGTCCATGGAATATGCCATGTGGTATGTTGGACTTCTCCAATACCACAGTTCAAAGGCATCAATTCTTGTGTCATTCAGTGTCCAACTCTCAGATGCATAAAAACCATGGCCTGAGTCAGGAGCACCTTAGTCGTCAAACTAACATTACTGTGGTGTTAGCCTAAAAAAGCCTAAATGTTGGCTTTTTAAGACATTACAGCTAGCCCACTCTGGTCTCCATGTACCTTAACTATAGACACATGTTCCTGCAAATCAGCAAAGTCTTGCATCATCTACAGCTGTGGGACTAGGACAAGAAAAAAGTTCTTCCCACAATGTGTAGCAAGACTCAAGGCAAGCAAGATTTGAGGGAGACTAGAGAGCAAGACCCTAGTGGTGGAGAGAATGCAGCACTGTTGTGGAAAAACTAGCAAGGTGTAAGCAGAGGAACCATGAGATTAAAGCCATACATAGTTAGATGTTTTTGCTGTTCTTGCTGGATTGCTTTAAGGAGAAGCTAACTTCTCTGAGGCAAATCTTGATAGATGATTTGTATTTGACTGCTGAACTGGAACTAGATTCTGGACTATTTGAGGAATGGTGCCTTGCGACTACTTAGATAAAACTTGGATTTGCATTAGGTGATATTCTTTGCCTCCCCCACTTTCCAACTTAAACTTCCCTGATAAACCCCATTCTCAGTACTGTAACTGTTGAGTCTGTGGGTCAAATAAACAAACCTCTTGCTGTTGATGTGGCTCTTCAGGCACCATGGGGCTGGGCCACAGTATCTTTATCTGCTTTCTGTGCTGGGGCAGCAAGGAGCTCTATTATTCTCACTCCCTCTGGCCCTTGACCCAGAAAGATATTCATGGTCTTGTGTCTCCATGTTTGGTTTTCTCCTACTTAATCACTGTTTCGCAAACATTTGGAGAGATCACTGACTGAACACTTTCCCTCTCTAATACATGTCCTGATCTCCTGAATATTAGTACCAAGTGGATTGTGGATACAAGTAAGATTAATTTGTTGACAGTTTCAATCAATTAACATGTTTCATGATAGATACAGTCCTGGACGTGCTCATCAGTTTATGCCAGGAAATTTGGAGGACAAGCTATCTGGCTGACTGACTAGAAAAGATCCATATTCGTTTCCATTCCCATAAAATATCACTTACATCACATGCAAGCAAAATACCAGAGAGATCATTTAAAAACGTCTGAACAGTAAGACTAGACAGAGAACTTCCAGA